TCTTGATAATGTCATTTTCAGAGAATTTTTTGTTTGAATCAGAGTGTTTCTTTACAAAGTAGGATTTATCCCTCCCCAGGACAAGATACTTGTATCTACGTTCGCCATTCTTTTTAATGAACAAAGTAATACCAACTCTTTCAATTTGTCTTTTAGTTTGGAATAGGGAATACATGTGTAAAGTGTAGAAAAGTCAAATGTTTTAATACTATTGCAAGATGAGAGTCTTAGATTGTATGTACTCTAAAAGATCTTTGGATTTTTTAGTATCCACATCTGATTCACGCCACTTCTAGAATAGGCAGTTTCGCAATAACTTTGGAGCCCGGCTTTAACTGCTGATAAAATAGATGTTAATAATTTAGAAAGAGGTTTCGTGGAGCACTTGGAAGACCCAGCAATATACCGTTGTTTGTAAGGACACTTATGTAGTTTAGGTATCCAATACAATGATGGAAGATCCAGTTCTTCATCTTAATATTCATCAAACAGGATACACAACAAAGGACATTGGGACAACGTATAGACACGATGGCAATCAATGCAAATATGGAACCAGTTTGATGGAACCAGTTTGATGGGACCAGTTTGATGATTTAACTATACATGTATGTTATGTTTTTATCTTATGTAGTTTTAACTACGAGTTTGTCCAACTATCGTCTTAAACATCTTTTACAATTAAAACAAAAGGAAATAATTTAATTTAAATACCTTATTCCGTATAGCGGGTTATTTTCGCGGGTGTAAAATTTCGCGATTTAAGGGCAACAAAGTATACGAAAAATTTTGGCGGTTTTAATTTTGGTGGCTTCTTTAATCCCAATTGAATATTTTGGCGGATACTGAAATGGTTGCAGTTAAAAAGAAAAACTGGACAAAAAAGGGTCAATTTTTATTGTTAAATGATTGTTTTACCTGCATGACGTCTTATTTATTGATTATATTTTGATAAATTAATCAAAAGAATACCGGTACATAGTTATTTGTCACAGGTGTACAAACATCTTGTAAATGTTACGGTCGATTAGTTACGAAATTGACCGGACCTTTGATGTACTAATGAGATTATAAAATTATCATGAGTGACTTGCAACTCTTATATAATTTGACACTAATTAATGAGGATAAAATACCTGACAGAGTACCTTACACTCTTATATTATTATTTATTTCATTATGTCACCAATAAACTAATTAACACCTGACAGCCAGTGAACAATGGCCTTTGGCATTTATGTTGTTTAAATTAACATAAACCGTTATTGATCCGTCGAAAGGGAAAAAAAAGATAGTTTACAAAACGCTTTATCTATTAGAAAGATTCGAACGTATGCATAAATTTTCGCGGAATTTATTTTTTCGCGATTTCCCCTGACCCGCCAAAATAAACACCCCGCGAAAATAACCCGCTATACGGTATAGTGTACAGTGTATTGAGACTTAAGATGAGCGTTAATTGTAAGTTTGTCGATATTTTATACATTTTCTCGTGTATAGTCTAAAAGTATAATTTCTCTTTATTATGAATTAACCTCATAAGAGAATGTATATTGAATTCAAATCAAGAATTATTGCATATAAAATCTGTAATCGTTCTTTAGAATCGGTTTTATTTAATTAAAGTCAGCCTTTCAGTTAATATGTTTAAAAAGGATTATTTTGACAATTTCCAGTTCAATCAATTTGATTCGACTTGAAAGCTTTTTTATTATTCAATAATTGAATGGTGGACTTTTAATTGAACTATTTAAAGAACGCATTTTTACGGACATTTATAAATACACGGGGAGCAGTTTAATTTTAAAGTCATGCGAAACATACCACATCTCCCTTATATATGTATCAATACAACAAACATGAATACGTTTTAAATACTTGAATAACTAAGATTTACTCTAAAACACAAGTACATAGACTTTTATTAAAAGAAAATCATCTTTTATTTTTTTCAAAATCTTACTTTACTGCTGTTTAACTATTGTCTTCCCGTAGTCTAAGGGGAAAAACCTCATTTAGCATATGTTACGAGATATGGTGACAATGTTGTAAATATTAAACCTTTTGCATCTTGTAATGCAGGTACTTCATGAGTCTTGGTAAAGATGGATGATATTTTCAAGAAGAAATCAAACGATATATTTTCAAAAAAAGTCATCGACGTATTCGAGAACAAATCAGACAACGATGTATTAGCACGTAGCAGTGGCGGCATAGATGTCTTTGAGACGAGAGATGATATTTTTGAAAACCCAGGCTATCAGGCTAACATTTTCCCCGGAGATAAAGAGACAGAATATCATGAACCAACAGTAAAGAATAAACCACTCCAGGTACATGCACTTACTAGATTTGATTGTTTAGTTGTGTTGTTGGGTTGCTATCTTATCATATGTAAGGCAGGATCAACTTGCCCCATCCGAGGTAACTGAGATCAACTTGAGTTTTAATGGGATTCGTGTTGCTCGGTATTTAGTCTTCTATCTTATCCTATGTAAGACAGGATCTACTTGCCCTTCCGCGCTGCCCGAAATCAACTCGAGTTTTAATGGGATTCGTGTTGATCAGTATTTAGTCTTGTATCTTATCCTATGTAAAGCAGGATCTACTTGCCCTTCCGATGTACCTGAGATCAACTCGAGTTTTTATGGGATTCGTGTTGATCGGTATTTAGTCTTCTATCTTATCCTATGTAAAGCAGGATCTACTTGACCTTCCGAGGTACCTGAGATCAACTTGAGTTTTAATGGGATTCGTGTTGTTCGATATTTAGTCTTCTATCTTATGTTTTACAGACTGTTGTTTGTCTTTTGTTTCTGGTTTGGTTTTTTTGCCATGACATTGTCATTCGTTTTGGACTTCCGAGTATGACTATTCCGTTGGTTTCTTTCGCCGCCCTTTGGTTGACTTTTCCCTATAGTGTTCACCTTTTTAAAATATTTTACCTTAAATCACAGCCACAGGCTTTATCCGACAATGTGTCGGTTTTAACTACTGCGCGAAAATTCTGCGGACGGTACGGGGGCAAATGTTTATTGCACTTCGTCAGTCGTTCATCAAGAAAGAAAGAAAATACTAGTGATTGTTTTTGAAACCATATAACTCGAATTTTAGGATTAAACACTGGTTATCGTTAGTCTCAAATTAAGAATCTAATTGGTTTGTGTCTTTGTTTACCGACATGCATAAGCTATTTTCACACGAATTCCAAGGACATAGACAGATTGCCTGCATGGGTGATATTGACTGGTCTTTGAAAGGACTTTGAATTTCCGTCATGATTATTCTTCATATTTTGTAAACATTTTTTAGCTATTAATTTGCATCATCAATATTTGGGTTTTTTTTATCTGCCGAAGGTAAGCAAAACAAAGGGTGCAAACAAAATTCAGAAATTGAAAAGAGAGACAACGCCATTTTTCAAAAGGCAAACAGAAGAAACATAAAATGATTCTGCGACTGAGCACAGGAGAATTTGCGTAACTTGCCCAACTGACGTCAAACCATAATCAAAAACTGCTGTTCCAGAAAATTTATTTTGTGACGTCGAATCGTATGGTCTTTGATGTCATTATACCTGCATATTGTCTGTAACAAAAGGATAACAAAGTAGATTTATGTCATTGTTTGTCTTGTTCTCATATCCCGTTATCCTGCTCTTAAAAAAAAATGTATAAATGTATTCATTCTTACAGGCTGCAGATGTACTATGCCATGGAAAATTCCGAGAGAACAGGTGCCATGCCAAAGTAATGCAGAGAACGCTTGAACTTTATATGAAAGGAGACAACAACAACATGAAAAAGAAACCGACTGTAGTTAAACCTAAGAGAGTAACAATTAAGGATGATTTGGATTGGTAGGGATTTAATCAAGGCTCGTTGAAACAGTTACCTATTGGTGTTAACTGACATCCAAGTACACCTAGGCTGCATCCAAATCTGGACATTGAAAAAGTGGAAACAGGAAAGAAATTTATCTTTGCAGTCGAGATAATGCTATCTGTTTCAGATTGCTCCGCTCGGTGAGAGCGAAAATAATTCAAAAAGGAACGAACGTATCTTGTAAATGCAGAAAAGGCGTTTCATTCTATTTTGCTATATTCTGATTTCAAACTAACAAGCAAACGGAGTGCTATCCATGCTGCCATGTACCAAGAGCTGCCCACTTCTCTTTGAAATGAAACCAGTGAGGTATCCTGGTAAATATATCACTTTGGGAATATACTCAAGATTTAGGTAACTTTGCAAAAACAACGCGTTACATATGGATGCATTAGTATCTCCCCTTGCTACTGTATCCTATATAGATATAAGAAGATGTGGTATGAGTGCAAATGAGACAACTCTCCATCCAAGTCACAATTTGTAAAAGTCAACCATTATAGGTCAAAGTACGGCCTTCAACACGGAGCCTTAACTCACATCGAACAGCAAGCTATAAGGACCCCCAAAATGACTAGTGTAAAACCAATCAAACAGAAAAACCAACGGTTTAATCTACATGAAAAACGAGAAACGAGAAACACTTATGAACCACATTAACAAACGAAAACCACTGAACAACAGGTTCCTGACTTAGGACAGGTGCAAACAAATGCAGCGGGTTTAAACGTTTTAACAGGCGCCAATCTTCACCCTAACCTGAAATAATAGTGTAACATCACAACATAGAAAGACACACTATAAAATATCAATTGAAATGGCTTAACTCAATAAAAATACATATTAACGAAAGCAAGTAAACATACACTGAACGAATAAATTTGATTTATGACACAATGTTAATACAACATTAATAAAAAAAAAGGGGGGGGGGGGGGGTGAGATGTAAAACAATATTAGAACGACAACTATGCTCTTTAAAGATATAAAAGTTCATACAGCAATGTTGACCGGTTAAAGCAAACGGCAATTCAATTACAAACGATGTTTTAAATGATTTCATTACAATTGTGTCAAAAACGGTGATGCATTTATCTATTTGAAAATCACGTTCTAAAAATATATCTTTGAATGCAGTAGTTAAATGGACGCAAGCAGGTTTGTTTATTTTGAATTTATGCTTATATATTTATAAAGGCAAACAATTGCTTCCGCATGCACATTCACAGATTTCATATTGTTGTGTTTAACTTCAGCCGATAAACACACCAATATTTATTTAATTATATAAATAAGTTTCGTATCCTATCAAGAAATATTGGTATGGGTGTGACCTGTTGTAGAATAATGATACATTTTAAACAAATCACAACACTTTATCCTTTCTTGATAGTACACAAGGTAGAATAAAAAGGATAGATAAATATATTAATCGGTCGTTAGAGTACACGGCATTTTTGTTAAAAATGATTTTTTTTTAAAGTGATTTCATTATAAATGATTTCTTTACAATTAGGTCAAACACAGTGACGTATTTATCTATTGGAAATTCCATGCTAAATATATATCCTTGTAATGCAGGATTTAAATAGACGTTAGTAGGTTTGTGTGTTTTAATTCATGCTGATACATTTATTTAGTTAGGGCAAGCATTTGCTACCTCATAATTAAATTTTTAAATCCTACTTAAAAAATCACACAAATTCAAATAACAAATTCCACAAGAAGATATTCAATTTGTTTAAATTGTATTGGTTAAATATAATGATTGATTAAAACACAACAGCTGGTATTCCATGAGCACTTTTATGTATCTTTGTTACACTGTTGGTACTTATACAAAACATAATTTAATTAAAATCTTCTTTATTTCCTGAACTTCCCCAAAAAAGATATAGGCAAGGGCGAGAGTAATTGTAGCTGTTTGTTATAAATAACATGCGTTCATGCTAAAAAAAAAGTTTATATACATTGAATACTGTGCAGACGAAACGCGCGTCTGGCGTACACAATTATAAGTATGGTATCTTTGATGCGTTTTTACAGACCTTCTGTTCTTTGGTCAATTGACTAAAACTCAAACGGGATCATACAATTCGATTGATACGGACTTTTTTAAATATTAAAGCCTTACTTTAAAATCTTTTTCTTCAGCTGTTGAATCAGTAATGGTTGAACATTAATGATACATATTTAATATAAAACATTCTTAACCTTTCATAAATATTTTCATCCATGAACATGTTCAATTTCTAAATTATTGAACTGGCTGTTATAATCCGGTTTGAAGACATATATGATTGAATTCAAAATAATGCCATACAAAATTTGTTCACCTCAATATTCTGTGGAGTTTGCCTTGCTGAATCGTTAGGTTTATATGAAGATATTTGTTCGCTGCTATTTGTTTGTTTGTTCGCCGTTCGCTGTTCTTTGTTTTAGTTGTATTATTCATCTCAAAATCATATTGAGGCATTAAAGAAGAAAAAAGGCTCACATCTTAAAATTGCACAACAGCACTTATCAGCTATAAATATAGGTTTTATTCTTTCGTCTTAATTTTATTGTACCGTATTTAATAGGGTAAAATATCATCTTTGTGAATGATAAGTAACGATAATCAGGTTGTCTGCATATTGATATTAGCTGCGAATTACAATATGAAGCTTTTTGTCGAGTGAGCGCAGCGAACGTGTTCAATACGGCTTCACATTGTGTCGTTCAGCTGATATTTTACAATATTAATATGCAGACAACCAGATAATCGATTTATCGGGTTAAATTTGCGGGGTTTGTTTTGCATGATAATGATGGAAACAAGTGTTTTCTTTGTTTCACCAGGAAACCGGAAGATAACTTGATAAATCCGGGTCTAACTTATCAACGTCGGTTCAATCATTATGACGTCGGTGATATATCCAAGTCAAAGTTATAAAGGGCGGATCAACGTATTTGACGTCACAAAGACGTGATATGCAATTGTATTTTAAAAGAGCAAAGGAGAGTGATAGAGACAATGGGACGACCGATAAAACTTGTTATCTGCCAAAATCAGAAACTTTAAATGCTTGTTTTGTAGGTAAACATGGCTAATCAGGCACCAACACCGATACAGAGTTCAATTCCTTTTGATTTAAAAAGAAGAATAAGTGAACAAGAATATTCGTCACATACAGGTAAGAATGGTATAGTCATTTTGATATAAAGTAACAGTATAGTTTACCGACGTGTTAATTTCACAAATCGATTGAGAAGACAAACCAAAGGGACATTTAAAAACTGATGGGATTCGACAAATACCATAAGAGAGAGATATTTGGTGCGTCGACAGCGTAAGCGTCTCCTGATATGTTTGCAACTCCGGCCATGCAAATCAATACTCTCAAAATGTCACAGTAAGAAATAGGACACAATCGGTTAATTTACAGATTATACGGCTACTCAGTAATTAAAGATTTGAGACTGCAAACAAAACAGATATCGTATCTGTCAACATAATTATTATGGAGACTAAAAAACCTATGTTTTGTCGGTTTTTTGTCTTTCTCTCTTATAACCCTGTTTTTACAGATTTTGTGGGAAACACTCCAAGGCAAATGAATTGTAAAAAAGCAAGAGCGTATCATGTATATCGCATCAAAAAAGAAGTAACATTTGTTCTTCTCATTTAATAAAAAGGCTTTGTTCTTAATTGTTTTTTACTGTACAACATAAATAACGCACCACATCTTACGATATAGATTAGTTCTTTTTTTATTGAGTATATTGTTTGTATTAACTGTGTACAGATACGCCTAAAATGAGTGCAACTATTAGAAAATACAAAAAATAAGTACAATTACTGTACGATCATTCTGAATGTAAAACATCATCAACAATTTTAACAGAAATTTAATTAGGTCCAACAGATGACTTAGATGACAAAAAGAAAAGATGGCTCGTGGTTGGAATTTTGTTTGCACAGTATTTTATCGCCAGCTTTGAGAAAATATGTTGACCCCGTTGTTACCAACCTTTACCAGGCACTCCTGCTCTCTGATCGGATCGACAAACAAACACACACGACACATCTACGGACATATGGCGTGGCAAATATCTACCTCAATTATGAAGCCATCAATAACAACAAGACAATATATGGTTATCGTACAGTTCTATGGGATTACAAAGTACAGAATGCTGTTGATTTGTCAAAGTTATTCCTCCAGACGCACATGGCACATTACACAGCGTTTGATGGATCGTGTGATTCGTCGGCTTTGTTTGGAATGATCAATAAGATAGACAAGTTTCCTTTAAATGTTCAGACGGCTGCAAATGATGTAAGTATATACCAAAATGTCTGATAAACTATACCAATATATTATCTTGTATATGCTGAATTTGGATATTTAGAGTGGCATTCGGATGGAAACTGTTTATATGGAAAGAATGCTTTTTAACCACTTGAGTAAAAAAAATCTGAAAGCAATTTTTCTCTATCTACCTTCACTTTTAAAATCATAGCCCTTATCAAATTGTCCCTCATATAATATTATATTATCCATGATCAATAAATATTCAACAAGGGACACTATTCACATATATTCAACTATATGTATATCATGAGTTCCTGTGCTATAAAAACACAACATAGCATATTCCATATTCATTTTAGTTAGTCCCTTTTTGAATAAAATAATTAAATTTTGTTTCGATGCATCCTCAAACATTTGGCTACATACTTCTTAAATAGTTTTGTTTCGCATCGATACGTTGATTTTCCAAATTTGTAATTATTCCCAAAATCAAAACTTACAAACTTTCATCCAAATGTCGCACTTAACAAAAATGAACGAAATCAAATAAAAATTGTAAGACCGATCGGCCAATTTCAATTGAAGATCTGTCGGTTTTAATGTTTATTAGATGTTAAATACGTGGTACATGTGATGAGAACTATTGACACTCTCTTTACTTTTAAAGTACGGCAAAGCAGCTTATATGATATAAACACTTCGTTATTTTCAAGCGTAATTGCATTTAAAATTACCATTAAATATGCACACAAGTTTCAACTTACGCCCAACAACTACATTGTATACCTTTAGTTAAAAACCTACTTAACCCATTTCCAGCCAAGTGAATTGTCAATATATATACATGATATATTCGTTACATTAAGCTTGGAAAGTTAACCTCCCTGCCTATATTTATTTCTGATAAACAAAAGCCTATATTTTTATAGACGATTGCACATGTATCGCAAGCATATGCACATCATGCAGATATTCATATATATTCTATATGTATTTCAGGTCAGATCTACTATAAGAAATGAGTGGGCTCACTGTAATTTCATAGTCTGGGATGATGTGAAGTACGTCCAGTCACTACAGCTAATTGAAAATTTCATTTATCTTCTGAATTTAAATGCAGCTGATGAAAAGCAAATGATTGATGAATTAAATAAATGGAGAAAGAATGGTAATGAACTGTACCTCGGTTTATTAATAGATATATGTTATTACTCTCTAATTACTGTTAACCCTTTCATAAACACTATCAAAGTTAAAAATTTCACGCATACTTATTTGATACAAGTTTAATGAAATTTACTTTGATGTTGACTATTCACTATTTAACTGTGTCCGATTGAAAGTAGATAATAAAAAATTTGGATCACGACACAAACTGTTATGAAAGGAAGAAACTCAAATCAATTCTCTAAGAATGTTTGGTCCTGTCAGAAGTTTTAAAATTTATGGGATATAGGAAGTAATTTTTTTTTGTCCATCTAATTTCATCAAGCTCTTCAAGCCAACTATTATCAATCGATTAATGTGTCTATATAGTGTGTTGTCAGTCGTTGTCTTGTTGTCATTTATCCCATACCCGTCCTTTAACTTTGTTTTGTTACTTCTTTGGTATTTGTGTTTATTGTTCTATTTTGTTATTAATATGAAACGAGTTTTAGCAAGAGTTATTGCACTTCAACTGGTATAATCTATAGAGAAATTAGATAAAATCAATCTAGCATTTTTTGTGAAGCATGAATTAAAAATGAGTAATGCATATAACCTATGATAAAAAAAATGTAAATAAATACACAATCAAACTGATCAAATGAGATATACATTTAAAATATCTAAACGCATTATATTCAAATAATCACTCTT